CTTATATAGCTACTTACCTAGTAACAGAAAGCTCACCAACGCAAAGGCAACGAGTCGATTTTAGCTCTGCAGCCTGCGCTGTAGACCTCTTTAACAACAGACATTAAATATTTGTAGGGAACAGAACACACAAGTCCCGACACCCAAGATGAAGGCAGTCGACTTTGTGCGCTCGCAGTTCAAGAAGCTGCCCTACCCGTCTGAGGACTGCGGAGGCCGCACCATCATCGTGACGGGCTCCAACGTCGGCCTCGGCCTCGAAGCGGCGCGCCACTTCGTGCGGCTCAACGCGGGCAAAGTCATCCTGGCGGTCCGCAGCACCGACAAAGGCGAGGCGGCCAAGACGGACATTGAGCTGACGACGGGCCGGCGGGACGTGCTCGAGGTGTGGCCGCTCGACCAGGCGTCGTTCGACAGCGTCAAGGAGTTCGCGGCGCGGGCGGACAAGCTGCCACGGCTCGACTACGTGGTGCTCAACGCCAGCATCGCAACCTCCAAACGGACGGAGGCGGAGGGGTGGGAGTCGCAGGTGACGGTGAACGTGCTGAGCACGTTCCTGCTGGGGCTGAAGCTGCTGCCGGTGCTGCGGCGGACGGGCACGACGTTCAACGTGACGCCCAAGATTGTGATTACGGCTTCGGACGCGAGCCAGATGGTGAGTCCCTCATCCTCGTACATCTCGGGCTTGTCGGTCCTGGCGTCGAGCTGGATCCTGATCTTTGGGCGGGGACAGGCCAAGTTCCACGAGCGCAACGACGAGGACATTTATAAGGCGCTCAACGTCAACAAGAGCCTCACGGACCGGTACAACACGACGAAGCTGATGCAGATCATCATCGCGCGGCAGATGGCCATCGCGGCGGACGCGTCGGGCAAGGGCAAGGTGCAGGTGACGACGCTGAACCCGGGCCTCTGCGCGACGGCGCTGTTCCGCAACGTGCCGTTCCCGCTGACGGTGGTGGTCAAGGTCGGGCTGAAGCTGTTTGCGCGGTCGGCGGAGGTTGGGTCGCGAACGATCATGGCGGGCGCATTCGCCGGGGAGGAGGCTCACGGGAGGTACATGAGCGACTGTATCGTTGTCAAGTTCCCGAAGCTGATGCAAGGGGAGGAGGGTGAGGCCATGCAGACCCGGCTCTGGGAGCAGACGGTGGAGTTGCTGGACGGGGTTGATCCTGGGCTCTCGAAGAACTTGTAACTTGACGTTGAGGGTTTTCGTTTGTCTTGGGGATGGATTGGGAAATTGTAAGATACCTCGGGCTGTATGATTTTGTCTCGGATAGGTATGTATTATGTTGCTGCGTTGCTGTGATGTGGCTTGCAAGTGACATGTGTATCAACCTGGAACTGTGCCGTGTAAGTCGGGCATTGAAGTTTGTCGCAATATTACTGAGCAAAACCATCAAGTTAGTACTTGTTTTCTTAATAGGCCCGTCTTTCTTTTTGAGGAGCCCTTAAAACTTTGGAAATCCGAGAAACATCTTCAACAAGAAGTGATGTGATGAGGTGCTCACAAAGTCACGGCATCAGCAGCAATCCGAATCGAGCAACCAGTTCACCGTCGGTGACCCCACATTCTCATGCACTGAAAGGGCCCCCACGGCGGCTCTCCTCCCCCGCGATTCGGCTGTTTTTAGTGCCCCCCAGCGGATTGACCGGGGATGCGGTCCCTTCCACAGGCGCAATCTGCCTCGGCTTTTTGGAGCTTCTCCAACTCTATCTCTGCCGGTTATTCTATTCCGTGCCTTTTTCATTAATATTAGATGTCTTCAGACGCTCACTCGTTTCATTCTTACATGAAGTGCTCTCCTTTCCTGTGAGATCACTTTACTCAAGCTTGATAGTGTAAACCTCTTCTTCAATTCTTAACCACCACCATCCAGTGCCATCGCAGAGTGAAATCCGCCCAACATGGTCGGCCCTCCGCCTCTCACGGGGATCAAAGTCCTCGAATTCGCCGGCCTCGCCCCGGGCCCCTTTGCAGGAATGCTCCTCGCCGACGCCGGCGCCTCCGTCCTCCGCATCGACCGCACCGTCGGCGGCAGCGGGACCCCGCTGCCGACCGAGGACATGCTGGCGCGCCACAAGGCCTCCGTCGCCGTCGACCTCAAGTCCAAGGACGGCGTGGACTTCGTCAAGAGCCTCGCGTCAAAAGCGGACGTCATCATCGACCCGTTCCGCCCGGGCGTTCTCGAGAAGCTGGGCCTGGGCCCGGAGGTGCTGTGCGGTCTCAACGGCAGGCTCGTGTACGGGCGCATGACGGGGTTTCGCCGCGACGGGCGGTACAAGGACATGGCGGGCCACGACATCAACTACCTCGCCGTGTCGGGGCTGCTGGGTCTGCTGGGCCGCGAGGGGGAGAAGATCCAGCCGCCGTGGAACATTTTGGCTGATTTCGCGGGCGGCGGGGCGGTGCTGTTCCAGGGCGTGTTGATGGCGTTGCTGGCGAGGGAGAGGAACGGCGGCAAGGGGCAGGTTGTGGAGGCGAACATGGTGGATGGGTCGGCCTACCTGGCCACGTTCCCGCGGTTCGCGCTCAAGGGGCCGCTTGGGGATGCGGGGAGGGGGAAGAACATCTTGGACGGCGGGTGTCCTTATTATGATACCTACGAGACCAAGGACGGCAGGTATATGGCTGTCGGGGCGCTGGAGCCGCAGTTCTTCAGGGCGCTGGTAAAGGGATTGGAGCTGGACAGGACGTGGGAGGAGAGGAGGTTCGACCGTGATAAGTGGCCGGAGTTGAGGGAGCTTCTGACGAGAACATTCAAGAGTAGGACGAGGCCGGAGTGGGAGAAGGTGTTTGATGGGACAGATGCGTGTACCACACCTGTGTTGGAGTACTCAGAGCTCGAGACGGAACCGGAGAGGGAAGGTGATCAGAGGCCGGTGGTGACGCTGGTGGAGACGCCGTGTCTGGCCGTCGACGAAGCCAAGACGGGGGATCCGAGAAGAGGCCAAGGTCCGGGGGTGCTAGGAAGAGGATACGAAGGCTTCACCCTAGCCCCTGGCGATGGTGCGGAGAGGGTGCTCTCGGATTGGTTTGGGTGGAAGAAGGGGAGAGATTTTGATGTGCAAAATGGAGGGCTGATACTCAAAGCAAAGTCAAAGCTTTGAGGTGTGTATAGATAATTGCCGTTGTATTATTTCTTGGAGGTTTTCATGAAGACTACTTATTTAGAGCTTCAAATCTGATATCTATTCATTTGCCCTCAATCCTGACCCAGTATCGTCTTTTCAGTCTAGACAGAATGGATCAGCACGCCATTTCTTCAACGAACGGCTGAGTAACATCTTCGCTCACTCTTTCAAGCATCACCACACTCGATGCTAGCTAGGACTTGGCGGGGGGTTTGGAGGCGGCCGAGGAGAGGGCGGATCTTTCCTGGACATGCTCGCGGCTCCTCTTCGTATACGCTGCTCTCTGTAGCAGACTACAACGGTCTTTTAGTCGCCGAAGACCTTGAAATTCTTCAGCCAAAGCAACTAGACAGAGTCAGTGTGATACTCACTTCACAATGCTTCTTGATGGCTGTATGACTGTGTAATTGGTGTTGCTTCGTCGATGAGCTCCTCGTCAAAAGCTCAACATTCACAAGAACTCCCTTTTCATCTCTAAATATACGAAGCCGCACCGATGAATCATCTCGAGCCTCCCCTGCGGCCATGAAAAATCGGCCCTCTTCGACCTCCCTCCCGTCGCCGCTGCGCCCTCCCGTCCCAGACCGCCACTGTCTGCCTCTTCTTTCCTTTTTCCACCTTTAAATGGTGAGATGGCCGGGGGTTTGGCTCTCATTGAATAACATTGTCTGACCGACTCTGACCCTGTCTGCCACCATGCCGGAAGCCGCTCCCGCGACGGCACGACAGCAGCGGGAGGGAGAGAGAGATCCTCTTTTTTTTCTCCTGTGTGTTTTCTTTTGTCCACCTCCCTGTCCCCTTCTGTACTCTGCCGCTCAACGCCATCCTCTAAGGAAATGGCTCTCAGATTGGTTGTCTCAGTTGGTTCCGGCGTGTCGGATCGAGACGGATAACTTTCCCGGACCTTTTTGGAAGCGTTCATTTCTCACCTATCATTGTCGAAGATGGGCTCAGCGTGGCGAAAGGAGTGGTTGCGTGGTGGAAAGACGCGGGCTTGCTTGGTTCCCCGGGTTCTGCATGGGCTCACCGCTCCGTTTTTGTTGTATGCATGTATGTATGTAGGTAGGATTGCGTGGGCAAAAAGCAAGCGTGTCATAACGCTGTTCAGTAGTGATTATGGTATCCGATTCGCGCTGGATTTGTCTGACCAAGCCTGCGACGTGTTGAAAGTTCCCACAGTTTCTGTCAAAAACGAGATGTAATAATGCGCAGAGGAACAGGTTTCACGCTGGTAGACTTGACAAGTTTTTTCAAGCCGATTGTTCCAGACAACAGGGGCCTGGCATCACCTTTGCGCCTCGATGTAATGCAGGTATTTCATGCATGGTGCTGTATGCGAGGTTTTCTTATCACAATGCAGAATCAGGAGATGGCTTCGGCGTAGTTGATGCTCCATGCCACATCTCATTGCTGGATCAGAAGCCTCTCGACGACTGGAGACGGACACACACATACCGGTCACTCGTTTTCAAAGAAAAATGTGAGCATATTTCCCGCTTGGAGACTGCAGGATAATTCCGAAGAAGTAAAACTGCAGCTCGAAAACGAGAGGGTCACGCAGGATTCTCTAGCCAGCACAAACGCACTGTACATAAGTACATCAATATCACATAAGTAGATTGAGGGAATGTTGGTATCTTAACCTAACGAACGTGGTGTGCTGTACCAGCAAAACTCGAGCCCTTCGTTTGCGCCCCATACATGATCAAAAAGAGTGTCGACATCAGCACCCTTCGTGGGGTGCCGACTAATACTACCATTCACATTCCTAGAGAACCCACCAGAAACGGAGGAACAAAAGAGAAGACATAAACATCATAGAATTACTCTCCCCTTCGACTTCCGCGACTCAAGCAAAACACCGCTTAGAGCCGCCTAGCCTTCTTGTTCGCCGGAGGAGCGGCGTCAGCCGGTACCCCCTGCGAGACCGGGACGGGCATCGGGACGGGCTCGGGCACGGGAACACCGGTGGTGCCCGGAGCAGGCGCGGCACAGCCCAGGTTGCAAGGCGTCTCGCAACGGCCGATGAAGTCGGGCTTGTCGTTCTTGCAGCGGCCCTGGCAGGGGCAGAGGAGCTCGATGACGCTGCCCTTCTCCTGGCCCGGGTCGCAGATGCAGACGAAGAGGGTGTCTTCGAGGGACTCCGGGGACGGGGCGGAGGAGGCGCAGTTGGTGTTGGGCGTAGCGCAGTAGCTCTGGCCGAGTTCCTCAGTCTTGTAGCCTGGGGGGATTCCCTGCGTTAGTGCCTGGGTTTCTTCTGGTATTGTATCGTGAGTGCAAACGTACCTTGGAAGCCGACGAGGACCTTGCCGCAGTAGGTGGCGCCGCAAACGCAGTTCTTGCCGCCGGACGGAGGCACCGCGGGATTGGGAGGCGTGGGGACGGGTGCGGTCGGGTTGACCGGTGTGCTGGGCAGCGGCGCAGGATCAACGGGAACTGGGACGTTGGGGATGGGTTGCGTCTCAGCGGGCGGTGGCTGTTGGCCGGTGACGGTCACGACTACGACGTTGGTCGTGGGGACTTGTGGCTGAGGTTGAGGTTGTTCTGGCTGTCCTCCCTCGGCCTGGGGCATTGCCGAGGCCCAGGTTAGGAGGGAGGTCAGAGTGAGGAGAGCTGCCTTCATCTTTCAAGTGATGTCCGTTTGTTTTGCAGGGAAGAGAAGTGATGAGAAGTTGCTGATGATTCTGATGCGGACGAGGATGGCGTGATTGCTTGTCTAGACAATGTTGACAGCTTTTATATACATTTCTCACGATCACCAAACAGTCTGATAGTCTAGGGACGCCTTTGGGAACTCCAAGTCATCGCTGCTGTCGAGGACTCGGTCTGGGGTTGCAAACACGTTGTCCGTTCCACCCGTGAATAGAGTCGCACCGGCACGCCGTCGATGAGAGAGGAGTGAAACGTTGAGGGACGGCTTGTTTCCGGCGTATTCGAGTCTGAACTAGATGAGCCAATCCAAGTTGGAGACTTTCAAATCTGCCTTCAAGTCTTAAGAGACGCCGGGACACTTCCTCAGCATCGTGCTTCGATACCGGCGCCTAACTAGCCCGCGATATCTCATTTGGCTGGGCTTGAATCAAGATAACTTCATCGCGCCATCAGAATTCACACTTGCCGCCCTCCGGTCACATAGGTCATGAGGTAACCGATCACTAGACGGGTGCAACAGGACTCGACAACATGTTGACCACGTCACGACCCAGGAAAATGGACTCTCTTTGGGAGGGATGGTAGTTCATGATACGATCAAATATCTTTCTGCGCACCACCCTTCACTAGAAGGTGCTCGCACTCGAGGCATCGGTGAGACGTTCTCCTGAGAATGGTGTCCCTCCAGAGTTGGGCATTGTCGCGCATTGTGATCCTGTCTTAAGGAGATTAGGAAAATAGGAGGAATTCCCGGCCATCGAAGCGTGCCGTGTCATGTTTCGTGCCTCGACACGTCAGAAGAGGTTTGCCATTCTCGGCTTCGGATGCTCCGACGTACATTCCAGGCACGCAACCCGAACACCTCCACGGCAACCTGGAAGCTGACGGCTGCCAAGGGCAGGTCGGATGAACAATACTGGGTGGCTGAGGTGCGGTCGGCTCGGAGCTGCGGCGTTGATGTTTGATGAGACGGGACCCCTGAAGCCGAAGCCGAACTAGACCCTGCATATGCACCGTAGGCCACCCAGTAAATACATAAATCAGCACTGTCTGCGCCTGCACCACCTTGTCCTTACCCCTCCAAACCCCGCCATCTTTGTGCTCCCGCGCCAGGCGTATTATCTGAGCTCCAAAATCTGATCCCGAACTTCGTACGATCCCCAGCAACACACCGCAAACCACCACGTACACCGAGTCCAATTGACCTCGTTCACCTTCCAAGGACACACGGAAGCCGTCGACTGATGCGCTGAGGACGAATTTGCAACTCTCACGCCCCCCTTCCTTCCCTCCCCTCCCCGTCTTACCAGCAACCATGGCCGACAACGGCGCCCCCATCCACATCGGCACGCGCAAGTCGGCGCTGGCCATGAAGCAAACGCACATCGTTGTCGACGGCCTCTCCGCGCTGCGCCCCGAGCAGAAGTTCGAGGTCCACGGCATGCAGACGCTCGGCGACAAGGACCAGATCACGGCGCTGTACAACTTTGGCGGCAAGGGCCTGTGGACCAACGAGCTCGAGGCCAAGCTCATGGCGAAGGAGATCGACATCATCGTCCACTCGCTCAAGGACATGCCCACCACCCTCCCCGACGGCTGCGTCCTCGGCTGCGTCACCAAGCGCGAGGACCCGCGCGACGTCGTCGTCTTCAAGGCCGGCCTCGCCGAGAAGCACGGCTGGAAGTCCATCGCCGACCTCCCCGACGGCAGCGTCGTCGGCACCAGCAGCATCCGCCGCATCGCCCAGCTGAAGCGCCGCTACCCGGGCCTCAAGTTCGCCGACGTGCGCGGCAACATCGAGACCCGCCTGCGCAAGTGCGACGACCCCGAGGGCCCCTTCTCCGCCATCATCCTCGCGGCCGCGGGCCTGCTGCGCATGGACTACGGCGCGCGCATCTCGCAGTACCTCGAGTCGGAGAGCGGCGGCATCCTGCACGCCGTCGGACAGGGCGCCATCGGCGTCGAGGCGCGGTCGGACGACGAGCGGGTGCTGAAGCTGCTGAAGGAGTATGAGGACCGGACGACCATGCTGGCGTGCGTGGCAGAGCGCAGCGTCATGCGCACGCTCGAGGGAGGGTGCAGTGTGCCGATTGGCGTGGAGACGAGCTGGGTGGAGGCCGAGGGAGGGGCCAAGAAGCTGCGGGTGAAGGCGACGGTGGTGCACGTCGACGGCCAGCAGGGGGTGGACGCGGAGCGGACCGAGACGATCGAGACGGCCGAGGAGGCGGATGACTTTGGCAAGCTTGTGGCACAGGACCTGGTGGACAGAGGCGCACAAAAGATCCTTGACGAGATCAACGCGATGAAGCCGGATGCGCAGCCGACGACGACGACAACTGCCGCCCCCGCTACTTAACTTTTGTTTTAACGGTTTTTTAACGACCATGTCATGACAACAAAATAGACTGATTCCCTGACGCATGGGAGCATTGACGATGACTTTTTAATCTTGTCTGCTGTCTTGTTCATCTCCTCTATGTGTGCGGTTATCTCGTTGAAATCGTAACCCCTATGATGATAATAAAAATAATATCCGCGCCCGGTATCGGTGTATGATACAACCCGACGACCCCTTCCCTCACCCTTTGCAGACCATATGTCAGGTTGAACTGCTGCCGGCCACACTACCGGTTACGTTCCCGCACCCGTTTGCTCTTTTTGCCCTTTTCGTCTTTATTTCTTTCGTTATCGCAAATCCTGAGCTCTCTCTAGTGGTCGGCGGTGAAAGCCTTGTACTGCTCAGGGTCCATGAGGGCCTCGATCTCCTTGACGCCCGCCTCGTCGACCTCGATCTTTGCGATCCAGCCACCGCCGTGGGAGTCGTCCTCGGGGACCTTGTTGATGGTGCTGGGCTTCTCCTCGAGGCCGGTGTTGACCTGGGTGACCTTGCAGGTGATGGGGGCGTTGATGTCGGCGGCGCTCTTGACGGACTCGACGGCGCCGATGGCATCGCCCTGGGCGACGGTGGCGCCCTCCTCGGGGAGCTCGACGTAGACGACGTCGCCCAGCTGCTCGGCGGCGTACTCGGAAATGCCGACGACGCCCGTCTTCTTGTCGGCGTTGAGGTCGACCCACTCGTGGTCCTTGGTGTACTTGCGTATTAAGCCTGGCGGAAGAGGATCCGGAGGTCAGTATGGTGTGCTTGTGTAGTGCGGAATGCTTCGCGAAGAGATATCCGGCCGTGGAAGAGCAATGCGCGCTGCGGGACACTCACTAATGGGGGTTGTGGAGAAGGAGCGGACGGCTGGGCGAGCGAAGGCGGCGCGGGGAGCAGCGGCCTTGGTGATCTGGGAGAGGGCGGAGGGGCGGATTGCCCTCATGCTGCGAGCAATTGAGGCCATTGTTGCTGTTCGTGAAGGGTGGTGTGGTTTGTCGAGGAGGAAATCCGTGGGTTGAGTGAGGAAATTGGTCTTCGCGAGGGACTGAGATAATGAGGTCAGAAGGGTGACCAGCAGGACCGGCAGTAGATAATTAGAGCTTTGGGAAGAGAGCCGGTTCGGGGGGGTTGCTTATCGGTGTGTATCCGCTCTGGATGGGCCTCCAGCCAATCACGGGTGATTATTTAATCCACTCTCGACGAGTATTCGGAGCTGCCCACCGAGCGCTCGGGTCTTGATCCGTCGCCTCATGGCAGCAGCAGCCGCGCCATGTCTGAAGCATTTGTTCGGCCAATCAGACAAAGAAGCGCGCTGCCTTTAGTCATTATCGGGCAATGGGCGTGAGGAAGTCAATTGTTCGACTGAGGTTGGTAACCTCTTTTGCCCTTTGAATGTCTCCGTTAACAAGGACACGCCATAAATATCTCTGTTCCGTTCCATGGTTCGTCGCGATTGAATGTTCCTCATTCTCTCCGTCTTCCTTACTTGCGTACTCTCTGTGTCATTTTGCATCGTTTTTTTCCCGGTTCCTGCTATTGTTCTTCTCATGCTCGGCATCATTGAAAGTGCTCCATCGTTCTACGCTATTGTTGCTGTAGAGCCTAAACTCGATTGCCACCATTCGTATCAATGATCATTGTCAAGCCAACGATGCGATTGTTGCAATTGTCATTGCGTCTACGCACGCTGGCACATTTCAACGGTCATTGCAGAAATACTCAAACCAGTGACCACCGTCTTATGTAAGGTAGGTAACGGCTTTGCTTAGTAAGAGGGACCCCGCGGTCGAGCCGGGCACAACCCAATGGCTTGGACGGAGCGGGCCAGGAACACGTCGCAAACAAACCCACCGTCTACGGGGGCCTTCTCTGCAGGACACAGCGGGTGCTATTTGACGGCGTCATGCCGTTTGCATGAATTGCCCATTTTGCAATCCAGGAGATTGCACGGCAAATATTTTTATTTCTTTTGGTCACCTCTTCATTCTTAGCTCAACCCTAAGGTTTGCGATCGGAATCGGTGCTGTTCTGGTTCTTTGCCTGATTGATTGATACGAGAGACAGCTTCTAGAAATGCGGTCTGGCGTCAGAGTCCCTGCTTGGCTGGCTGACTACTGACTACCCTTGACCCCGTGCATCGTCCCATGTCGCGTGCTCTGGGCTCAGTTGGCGTTCCCCTTTGTTGACTTTGGCTGTTGACATTGGGGTTGCAGTTTTTACCGGACAACCAGCTGCAAGCGGGAGGTAAGGTCCAATATCACGCATTTCAAACGCACGACTGCCAATGGCGACGGCAACATCAACATCAACAATAACAACAATCGACTTGTTCTGTGCTCATTGGTGTTTGGTTGGAGTAGAGAAACCCAAGATCGATCGATTGTCTCTTCCGTTCCTGCATTGGCAGTTTTGGAGGGGGTAAGCTAGCTAATCGCTTGGTAGCGGCCAGCGACTCACCGCCCCGGAGGCTGTTTCGTTTTGGTCCGCAAGTCTCGGTTGGTCCGTCGAACGTTTTGTCTCAGTGCCCTACGATGAGTTACACCGTCTGTACCGTCTCTGCCCGTACCCGTCGCCGTCGGGTCTTTTGGCTCGCCAGCGTCCTTGTCGAGTCCCACAGCGAAGGGTGGACTCTGGGCCGGGCCTCGTTCAGCTTTTTGCCTGAATTGCTGCCAGAACCTCAGAGACAGGGAGGCTCACTCAGGAGTCAGGAGACCAGAAACAGGCGTGGCCTGGCTGATGAAGCCCGATGAACCATGGCCGTGGTGGAAAATAGAGCACAAGCGGCTAGTGTGAATCCGCCCGTCATAAATGCCGCCTGGACCATGGTCCATCGTCCACTGTCCACAACCTACGGATACCTCTGGACCTTGACGTTAACAACTTAAAGCATGGAATACACAGTAGTGCCTGGGTGCTAATTCCATGGCATAAGCAGGTGGTTGTGGTTTATGTGCGTGGGGCTGCTGAAAAAAGAAGACATAAAACATTGTGAACGCGTCCTGCGCGTTTTCCCCACACAAACTGGGCCGGACTGTGAGGTTTTGGCGTCATCACCGGTGCATCACTCGCCAGTGCCGCCCCCCTCCTCTGGCCGGTCCCCCTCCCCAGCGCGCATCCTTGGGCTCTGACTGGCTGTTTCCTCGCTGCTGCCCGCGTTTCCTGCGTTGCGTTGGCGTGTCTGCTAAAATCCCGCCAGGCCACCCGCTAAAAATCCAGATCCATTAGTGGTCACAGCACGCTGGCCGGTAAGCACAAGGCACCGTAGCACAAACAGCCGGTCAGCACCCAGGTGTCGAGACGGAATAACACGAACATCGCATCGCATCCCCGTCCCCGTCCCCCATCTCAATGCTCATCCACATTGCATCGCGCACAACACAAATGCGTCGTGCTGCTGCTGGGCTCCGCTAATCCCATCCGTCTCCATCGCCATCTCCATCCTTTCCCCCCGTTTCCATTGCCCTGACCCGTCCGTCTCGGTACATTCCTTGGACCGTGACTGCTGGTTCCTTCAGCCTTCAGAGGTCTGTTTCCATCCACCCACGCACCGCACCGCACCGCACCGCACCGCCTTGCACCGCCGCATCTCATCAGCATCCCGTCCCGTCCGTCACTACCTTGTTCTCGCCGCCCTGCCTACACAACTAACCTAACCTCACCAGGCTTGCACATTGCTGCTCATCTTCCTTCCTTGGTCTTTCGCCTTGTGCCCTGCCCTGCTTTGGCTTGTCCTCATCTCTCGGGCCTGACCCGACTATTGGATCCAAACGAGGGTTCTGAAGTCCAGCAAACCTGGTCCAGCCCGGCTTCCCGCTCGCCAACTGCCACCACACCCTTTCTCACGCCGGTACGTTGCTTGGTCCAATACAAGCCCGTCTTCCTATTGCTCGGCTCGACTCGACTCGACTCCAGCTTGTGGTGGGCAACCCCTGGTTCACCTCCCTCGCCCAATCCCGTCTCTTGTTTCTGTCTGCCACTGCACCGTCTCGACTCCATAGGTACCGTACCGCTCCGTACCGTCCACTGCACCACACACTACCTACCTCACTCTCCTGTCCCTCCTCGACTCCTCCTCCTCTGCCTCTGTTCTGTGTGGAGAGGTTAGGTGAGACATCTTCGCCTGACACTCTCTCGTTCCCTTTCCTCTCACGCCGCCATTCACTTCCAAGACTTGCGTGTCTTTTCGTCGCCAACTTTAATCACTGACGGCTACCGCTTTGCAGACCTGAAATTCGAGTCAGGCGCTCAGAGACGATCTGTCGCTGCCTCACTGCACTTGGCTGTGCCCATGAAGCCATCGTCGGGCCTAAACTGAAACCTGCCGCCTACCACCCCGGTCTCTCCTTCGCTCCCCGACAGAGCCTCGTGCCGACGACCAGCTGTCCTCGACACGCTAGACGGCCAACCGCGACGAAACACCTCACCTCTCTTCACCCTTCGCCCGAGACGGAGCCTCTCTGTCCCCGCCTCCCCCGCGATCCTCCACCCTGGATTCCTCAACACTGTCCGCGGGGTCACCGGCCCAGTTCCACGACGCCGTCGACAACATGGAGCACGAATACACCCCCGCCCCGCCTCATCCCGACGATACCCTCGGCGGTCTTGACGGCTCTCCTCAGGTCGTCCAGTCCAACGGATACGAGTACGCAGAGAAGCAGCGCCATCAATCAGCCCAATCCATCGACCAGGGCCTCCCACCACAATCACCACGGGCCGATGAGCACGCCGACCGGTACAACACCCCGCCGCTGCCCATGAACGCTCCTCCCATCTCAAGACCGGCATCTGGCCTCTCGGGCAATGGCGCACAACAGGGCTACGCCGACCATGCGTCACGAAGCAGCGCCGGCGCCGAGGCTGCGGCGAGCAACGGTCGCAATCACGTCGTTATCAAGGTCGGCATGGTGGGAGATGCGCAAATCGGCAAGACGAGTTTGATGGTCAAGTACGTGGAGGGAAGCTGGGACGAGGACTATATC